AAGCTTCAAAGGTAGAGCAATTCTGGTAATTGCAGTGTCCAGGGTGGGGCTAGACAAGTGGAGGGGACATGAAGGTCACAGGGACAGAGAACAGGAAGGATATAGGATCTAATATGGCCTGTGAGTGGCACCTGTGTTGTCCAGGTGAAGGCAGGTACTAGGTGGGGTGGGAGGGAAGTCACGAATCAGGGTCCAAAGTCCTTTCACAGTGGTCTGACTAAGGCAGGGAGGGGCCTTTGGCCTTTGGCCCCGCCCTAGAGGGGGAGGAGAGGAAAAGGAATGGAATGATGAGAAATGTACCACCAACAACCCTCACTCAAGAGGGATGACAATCCTGCCTTATGACCTTGAGGGAGAGCCTCTGATCACCATGAAGAGATGGAAAGATTTTCTAGAATTGGTTCCGCTTTTCAGAGGGTTGTGTGTGTGTGTGTGTGTGTGTGTGTGGTCTCCCCATTGTAATTCAAGGGGCCAAGTGACATGGTTCTTTCCAGTGTGTCTTCAGAACTTGTTACAAACTCCTGCTCCAAATACTTAGATGGGGTTGCTGCTAGAATTGTTATGGTTAGAAGATTAATGTGGAACAATACCCTAACCCCTAAAACAGAGGAGTAGCAGTCCTGCATGTAGGATTATCCATCCCCATTTATTTTTATATTCTGTAGGAAATTGACTCCTGTTGTTATGGAATAGCAATGCCATAAAATTCTCTCTCTGGGACTCCCTCATCATAAAACAGCAACAGGAGCCATCCTAGGAGTAAAGTCTCTAATGAACAAAGTTTCCAACTTAGATAACACTTGCGGTCTAGCTTGAGTCTCACTTGCAGAAGGCCAAGGGCCAGGCACCTGCCTTTATCTTTTATCTTACTGGGATAGAGCAGTGAAATCATTATTGTTAGCTGGATCCCCCCAGAGCCCAGACTATGCCTGAGCCTCCTTGCTTCATTTTGTATGGTCCAAAGGACTTCATGTTAGGATTGTTTTTGTTTGTTTTGCAGTACTGGAGAATCAAACTCAAAAACTTACACATACTAGGCAAGCATTCTACCACTAAACTAAGTCACCTGCCCTAAATGAACATTACTTTTCTTTTTCCTTCCTTCCTTCCTTCCTTCCTTCCTTCCTTCCTTCCTTCCTTCCTTCCTTTCTCTCTCTCTCTTTCTTTCTTTTTCTTCCTTTCTTTCTGTCATGGGGCTTGAACTCTGGGCACAGTCCCTGTGCTCTTCAGCTCAAAGCTGAGCCACAGCACCAGTTCCAGATTTCTAGTGGTTTATTGGAGCTAAGAGTCTCATGGACTTTCCAGCCTGGGCTTGCTTTGAAACATGATCCTCAAATCTCACCCTCTCGAGCAGCTAGGATTATAGGCGTGAGTTTTTACTGTGTGTAGTATTTATGGAGGATTTCATATCATGTCAATAATAGATTGCTCCCTCATGACACACCTTACCCAGCTTATTAGAACTATAGAATCCTTACCCACAGTCCTACCCAGGCCACCAGAACCAATCCTAGCATTTCCACAAGACCTGCTGGTAATGTATAACCAAGTTATACTTTAAGAGGCTGCCTCAGGCCGCGCCATTCCTGAAAGTATCCCAGCCAGACCAGCTGGCTGCCTAACTAGCACTTCCTTCTCTCCAGCTCACTCATGGGGGACGCGGATTCCAACCATCCATGGACTCATTGTTTGTCTCCGTTGCTCTATCCACCAGCTATCTCCTCCTTCTGTCCCCATCCTGCCTCACCCTCTCCTTACACTCAACAGCCCGTCATTATTAATACATATTTATGTAATTATAATCATTATCTACACACTCACACACCTTCTCCTTCCTTTCTCCCTCTCCCTCATGGAATTATTCAGCAAAAACGATCTAATCTCCCACTTCCTGTTCCTGCATCTTTCCAGCAAAAAAAAGGTGCTTGTGAAAAAGTATAAAATGACCCTTCAAGCCTGGGTTGGAAAATCCATGAGATTAATCTCTAATTAACCAGCAAAAAGCTGGAAGTGGAGCTGTGGCTCAAGTAATAGAGTGCTAACCTTGAGCAAAAAAGCTAAGGGACAGTGCCCAGGTCCTGAGTTCAAGCCCCAGGACTGACACACACACACACACACACACACACACACAATGACTTTGCTGACAAGTCCCTTGCACCTTCCCCTCCCCCTCAAATTTCCAAGCCTGTCTTGCTCCCTCTGCTCACTGCGATGCCCTTGCTTCCTGTATCACTGATGGAACAGAAACCCTCAGGGGGGCCCGGGGCACACATTTCCCATACCTAGTCTACCTGGCTCCCTGCCTCTGTGCCCATGTTCCACCCAATTCTCCTGATCCTGTGAGTGAAACATCACCTTGTACCTGTCCCAGGACAAGCCCTCCAATAAACTTTGCACCTTTAAAAAAAAATTGTTCAATCAAGCACAGCGTTCCAGAATACGCTCCCCAAACCTGCATCATCACATTTTCCCCCTTGACTGAACCAATCACATCAGCATTTAAGCATACTGTCATCGTTCCCATCCTGAACACAAAAGGAAATAGAAAAAAAACCCTATAACCTCGCTTTGGCCCCACACTACCCTCCAGTTACCTGCTACCCTGTTCTCTGATTCTCTGAAGAAGCAATGCATCATGAAAAGTGTGTAGCCTCATGATCTCTTCCTGGAGATCTTCCTAGGCCTCATTTCTTATTGGGATCTTTCCACTCAGGCATCCCCATGTCTTGTCTACAGTGAAACAGCTCTTAGGGCACTGGCTGGCTCTATGATGTTGAAACCAATGGTGATCACTAGTCTTAGCCTCATTTGGACTAAGAGCTGCATTGCACTAGTGGTCCCTTCTCCTTCCAGAAAGGTGTCCCTGCTTTCCCAGAAGGTGAGCCGCCTGTGCCTCCTCCCCTCCCCTGGCTGCTGCTGCTCTGGTTCTCTCTCAATGTCTCACTATTGGAGACACTGAGTCCGCTCTTGGCCTCCCCCCCCTCTTTTTTTTTGCTGGTCTTGGGGCTTGAACTCAGCCTGGGCACTGTCCCTGAGCTTCTTTTTGCTCAAGGCTAGTACTCTGCCACCTGAGCCATAGCGCCACTTCCAGCTTTTTCTGAGTAGTTTACTGGAGATGAGAGTCTCATGACCTTTCCTACCTGGGCTGGCTTCAAAACTCAAATCTTCAGATCTCAGCCTCCTAAGTAACTAGGATTAAAAGCATGAGCCACTGGAGGCTGGCTTGGCCTTGCTCTTAGTTAATACTTGTTCCCTAAAGGTTCTCAGAGTGCTGAGGTTTCACCAACTCTGAAGAATCTCAAGTCCATCTCTAGACCAGACATCTGCTCCCAACCCCACACTTCCTGTTCCTACTTGTGTGTCCAGCAGCCTTGTGTCCACACAAGGCTCCAAAATGAAGCCTTCCCTCATAGCTTCCTCTCTGGAAGTCTTCCCCACATCACTAAATCATATCATAAAGTTTCTTGAGAAAATAAGAAATTTGATTTTAGTAAAATCCCCACAGTTGTACCTGTAAATGTATCTAGAGCTGACCACTGAATTCTTGCTTCTTTCTCCCTTTCCCAGATTACCACTTCCTCCCTCCTTTCCATGTGTTTTCCTGTCTGTCTGTCTTTCTCTCACCTCCCCACCCCAGACTTCCTACATACAAGACAAGCACCCTACATCTGAGCTCCCCCCCCCCCAACTATCCAACTAGATCATTTCAACAGTCTCTAACTAGCCTCCTTGCTGAAAAACTTGGGTCCTCAGTCTGTTCTTCACACCACAGCCACATCACGCCTTTTAAAATGTCAGATCACATCCCTTCTCTGCCCCAGAGCCTCTAAATAACTTCTCATCACTTACAGTTTAAGCACCAAAGTCATCAAGGGGGTGTGTAGGCCCAGTCTCTGCTCTTCCAGCCTCTATCCTATCCTCCAGCTCACTGGCACTCTCCTTCCATCTCCTTGTCCATCTGCTCCTTCATAGACTTTTACCGTAACATATGCACTCTCTTCCCTGTTTTTCTCCAAAGCATTTCAAACTGTTCTCTGGTATATGTATTGCTTGGTTTGCTGATTGTTACAAGAACAAGGACTGTTTAACTCACTGCTCTACCACCTAGAATACTGCCCAGAACATGGTAGGAACTCAACTATCTTGTTCAATTATGAATCAAAAAGAAATAAGCATATATATATATATAATATATATGGTAATGGATGGATCCAACTCTTGAAGGCCTTTGTTCATCCACATACTATTATACCATGTGTGTGTGTGTGTGGGGGGGGGGGGGGGGGTGTCCTGGGCCTTGAACTCAGATAAGCCTGAGTATTGTTCTGAGATTTTGTGCTTAAGGAATAGCACTCTACCACTTAAGCCAAAGCTCCACTTTCAGTTTTGTGAGTGTGCTTTATTGGAGATGACAGTCTCTAGACTTTCCTGCCTGGGTGGTTTTTGAACAGTGATCCTCAGAACTCAACTCCTGAAGTAGTGAGGATTACAGATGTGAGGCATTGGTGCCAGGCTTTTTTTTGGTTGTTATTGTTACTTGTTTTTAAATGTAAGAATCCCAGGCAATGACATGAAATAGCCCATGGATAGTAAATGGTGGAGCTGGGGTTTCAATCCAGGCTGGATTCTACTACTTTGGAACATTACATCACTTTCTTTGATGGCAGGGGTTGGTAAAATGAAGTTACATGTTCACTGCATGTATGGACGGACTGGAGTGCACAAGTTGGTTCCAGGCCATCGCAGAGATCAATGCTTGAAGTGAATGTGCGGGAGGGTCCTCCAAGGACAGCAGTCGGATGCCCAGGAGGAGCTGAGCATCAGCGAGTAGATGAGAAGCTGGTTTCTGCCTTTCTAGGCATCCCCCCACCGAAGGCCTGCCTCGCGTGACTGCGGCGCACTGAGTCCTCCCGGCCGCCGGGGGGCGTCCGAAGCCAGAGGAGGCGTTGCTGCGCCGGCCGACGTCGCGTCTTCGGCGCCTGCGCACTGCGCACGTCAAAGCCGGGCTCGGGCCGGAGCGGGGCGCGGGGCGCCGGGAGCGGCGCGGCCTGAGAGGACTCTAAGGTTTCAGGAGTCGAGCGAAGGCGGAGGCCGAGGCGGCGCCGAGCCTCACAGACAGCAGCCGCCACCCGAGCGAGCGCAGCCGTGCGGAGGCCACCGGCGGGAACCTCGGAGCCACCGTCCGCCCGCGCAGCCGCCGCCGCCGCCGCCGCCGCGGGAGCCCGTCGCCGGGAGCAGCCGCGGCGGAAGACAACGGAGGGGCCGAGCGCCCGCGCCGCGCCGCGGGGACCGAGCGAGCAGCCCGAGGCGGCGGCGGCGGCGGCCGAGGACGGGGACGGCGACGACGCGGAGGCCGAGAGGGAGCCGCCCGGCCCGGCCCAGCCCCGTGAGTGACCCCCCGGCCTGGCCCTTCTCGCGGCGCGGACGCCCTCCGGCTTCCGTCCGGCCCCGGTCCCGGCCCCCGGCCCCCGGTCCCCGGCCCCCGGCCCCCTCCATTTTCTCGGGTGGCGGCGTCCGGGTTCCGGGCTGGCCGGGCTGGTCCCGGCGCCTCCCGTGCGGGCGCCGCTGGGCGGCTCCGCGGCGGGGCTGCGCGGCCCCGGCCGGGGTCGGGAAGTGCGGGCCGGGCCAACTGTCACTCCCCCCGCCCGGGGGGCTGCGGGCGGCCGGCTCCCGGGCCCCGCGTCGGCTTCCGGGTTTCGGAGACCGTGGCGGGTCGTGTCGGGGGAGCCAGGAGCGGAGCGGGGGAAGCGTAACTGGTTTCTGGTTTAGGAATGGTGCGATCGGCTCGTTTGCAGCCATTGAACCCCAGTGGGTCCGCGCCGGAGGAGTTCCGAGGAGGACCGGGCGCGGAGGTCCCCTCCCCGGACGAGCCAAGGCTCTGGTCTTGGAGATAAGACCAGCACACAAATAGCCGCGATCCCGGGACCCAGGTGAAAAGTCCGGCGAAGGAACAACTACCAAGCGCTTCGAAAGGTGCCCGGGGAAGACGGGACCGGCCGTTGGATCGCTTCTGCCTTAGCACCAGCCTGGGAGGCTTCCTGGGCGAGGCGGTAGCTTGGTGGACCCTGGAGGCCCCGGCGGGGTTGGGAGAAGAGGGGGTAGGTAGCGGATCTAGAGGACAAAGGCAGGACTTAGGAAGCCTTGCTCAGGGAGGTCGCCAGCCTGGGCCGTGGTGAGGTGGGACGCGCCTCGAGAGGTATTTTGGGGCCACATCCTTGAATGCAGTTAGAGGAGCCGTTTGAACGACCTTCTGCAAGAAACTTAGAGCTCCTCTCTCAGTGACTCATGAGCCCGGAAATGTATGCTAGGGCATATTAAAGGCGCTCTTCAGAAAGAAAGGAGAGGAGGAGGAGGCCCCAGCCAGGATTTGACATTCTGTCCCTTGAACTGAATGCAGTTTGAGATCGATTTTGACAGTTTCCCGGATGTTTAAGTATATCCGTAGCCAAGCCAGGCCGAGGACCTTTTGCAGAAATTCATTAGGCGCTTAAGAGGTTCTATAAGCTCGTCTGCACCGGTCAGGCGTTTTTGTTAGTGACTTCCTTCAAACGCATCAGGACTTCGGTTATTTTGTTAGGTGTCTACACACCTATTACCTGGGCTAACCCGAATTACTGAAGTAAACCTGAATTGTTTGTTGTTGTTGTTGTTTTTGGAATGACATTTGTGTAAAGCAATCTAAATCAATGATTTTTATAAAACTCGAAAGTATTGCTTATGTTCTAGAAGAAGTTGGGCCCAGATCTTTTTTCCCCTAGGAAGGTAATTTATTTTTAGTTGTGAAAAATAATGGGAGAGCCAGAAGTGAAAGTTTTTAGGTCTTCACAGTTTTTGGAATTGCTAGCAAGTAATTAGTACTTGTGTTTAAAGTCAAAAACTCTGACCTGTTCTAAGTAACTCAGAATCTGTGTTGGTTTTGTAAGCACTTTTTGTTGTATCTTAACAAGTGAATGCCAGATTAATACACAGATTAAGACATAACATAATCTGTGTAAAATTCAGATAGTACTGGATTTCCCTCCCCCCCCCCCTTTTTTCTACAAGTCCAGGTCTGTGTAGCCCAAGCTGACCTGAATCTTGGAGGGATTCTCCTGTTTTAGCTTCCTGAGTGCTGAGATTACAGACATATACCACCATACTGGCTCAGTACTGGAATTTTTTAAAAATTATATTTTTAATCTTACCATTTAAATCACTATTAACATTCTGTATATTTCCCTTTCAGTCTTCTATGTATATTTTCTTGAATATGTACATTTGTATACACTGATATCTTTTGTTAATCATTTAAAACTTTTTTACCCAAGCAAAGGAGGTCTTAGATTATTAATAATAGTAATAATATTTGTGAGCAAGGTTGCATTGCTACTCAAATGGAATTCAGTAGTCCTGTTTAATTGCTGTATGAACAGAGCTTTTCCAAAAACTTTTTTTTGAAAGACTTGTTTGAAATATATTAATTTCTCTATAAGCTTTTGGGGAAAAAAACCAAAACTTTGAATGCCAGTCCTGGGGCTTGAACTCAGGGACTGAGCTCTGTTCCTTTTGTGCTCAAGACTGGCGTTCTACCACTTGAACCCAGAGCTCCACTTCCAGCTTTTTCTTTTTGAGTGGTTTGTTGGAGATAACAGTCTGATGAACTTTTCTGCTCAGGCTGGCTTCGAATCTCAGTCCTCAGATCTCAACCTCCTAAGTAGCTAGGATTGCAGGCATGAGCCATCAGCTCCTGCAAGGTTTGGATTCACATGCTTATTAAATAATGTTCTCATTGGTCTGTGATCAGGAGGTATGGAAGAGAGTACCACAGATCTCTGCTATGTGAGCAGATATACTTTCAGAAGGGTGCTGTGAAAAGATTACTTTCATTGTTGGCACCCTGTGTCTTATACACTGTTCAATGCATTCCCCCTTCCTACCACCCCCATTCCACTCCTAAAAATAGTCTTTATTCCAGAGTTATCCACATAGGTCAACTGCGTTTTGAACATGACATCATAAAGACTCAGACTGTATGCTTAGGTTCTTTTAATTAGCATTTTTAAAACCAAATATGTAATTTGTTATGAAATGATTTGTTATAATTACAAAGGGAGCTTTTTAAAAATTTCTAGGAAACTCACTTCAATTCATTAGCATTTTAAAGACAAGTCCTTGTACTAAATCTTACCTTGTGCTTTGCATTCTGAAATGCAGTAGCCTTTGTTTCTGTTGGTATATAAAATGAGATGTTGAGTTAGAAAATTTATATAAAGTAAAAGAATAGTTAAGAAAGACCAGGTTAAGAATGGGGCTTGGTTTATAATTTGGTTTCATTTGAATTTTTATTTGTATATTGCAAATGTGTGTACCACACAGCATCTTTTATTATTTATTACTTTGGAATATTTATGAAAGGCTTTTCTTTTGTGAGATTATAGATTCATGTGGCTACTGCCGTACCTTCTCTCCAAGAGCTTTCCTTCCCAGGATCACTTACTAGTCACATTTGCTTTCTGTTATAGAAATATATACACACATACACCCCCACACAGGAAAAAACAGTACTTGACAATTTTATTTCAGATATTTGGTTACCTTTGTTGATATTTCTGTTTTACTGCTTTTAAAAGTCCACACGGCCCATTTCCATGGTTTATTAAATTGGAAGTTTGACTTTATGGATGTCCTAGGGTGTTAGAGAAATAGGAATGTCCTAGGTAATATTGGTATGGGGTTTTTTCATACAAGGCTAGCACTCTACCACTTGAGCCACTGCTCTACTTAGGATTTTTTTGGTGGTTAGTTGGAGGTAAGGGTCTCTTGCCTGGGCTGGCTTTGAACTATGATCCTCAGCTCTCAGCCTCCTGAATACAGGTGTGAGCCCCATTCTCAGCTAGTTTTTACAGGCAAAATTTTGTGGTGTGAAAAAAAGTATGGGAATAAAGGTGAAATTTATGTCAGCTTCTGGGCTACATTAATTTTGACTTGGTATTTTATTTATGTATAAAGAGCCTGAATTTGTATGAATGTAGATAAAGCCAAGAAGCTTAAAAATTGCACAAGGATTAAGTCATCATACTTTTGACTTTTATTGGAAAGAAGACTAGTGTTGGAGCTGTCTGTAATTAAAGGAGGAAATGAGCAATATGAAATTTCTTTTTGTGGGCTTGCTTGTTTGAGAGAGGGTCTTAATATGTATCCCCAACTGGTTTCAAACTCCTGATCCTCCTGCTTCAGCCTCTTCTTGAATGCTGGGGTTACAGATGCACTATGCCTATGTACCCTTTTTTTTGGGGGGGGGGGGTCGGTCGTGGGGCCTGAACTCTGAGCTTGGGTTCTGTCCCTCACCTCTTCAGCTCAAGGCTAGCGCTCTACCACTTGAGCCACAGCACCACTTCCAGCCTTTTCTGCTTATGTGGTGCTGAGGAATCCAACCCAGGACCTCATGCATGCAAAGCAAGCACTAAACCACCTTCCCAGCCCCTTGCCTATGTACTCGTAATAACTGTGGAACTGGACTTTAACCATTTTAATCAGTTTGTAATACTGGGGAAGAGGAAAGTGAGACAACTATTTCTACCATCACCATTTGTAGAGTACAGTAGTCTGGGAATAAAATGATGAAAGTTTTGCTTGTGTTTCTCTGGCTTTCCAGGGATTAGGAGAAAAGTGTTCCAGTAGGGGCATGGTGGCAGAACAGCATTTCATGTATGTGTAGCCCTCCATTGTGTCATTTTTACTCCTGAAGTTTCCTAGTATCACTGCTTTTACCTTTTGAAGTGGGACAGGGAAGGACAGAATGGTGGTTTGTAGCAGCTGTGAAGCTAAACCAGCAGAGGGAAGGAGAATGGCATGCAAAGAATTGCAAGAAGTCAGTCAGGTGTGAAGTGGCCCCAGAGGAGAGAGCTAAAACCTGCTCTGGACATTATGTTGGCAGTGTTCATGGCATACCTATTCCTTAATAGAATATTTCTAACTTGAGATTTTGCTGCTCAGACTCAGAATATAGTATTTTAAGTTGGAGCTCTGTGCATGGTTGTGTGTGTGAATGTGTTTACCTTTTTCCTTTTTGAGACACTGCAATCCAGAGTGACTTTGAACTTGTGATCCTCCCACCTCAGCTTCCTGTGTTTGGGGCTTACAGATATGAACCACCATACCCAGTTTTATATATGCATTTTTATATGCATGTTAAAAAGACAAAACCTAGTCTAGTTAACCAGTATTTAGTAGCAACCTGGTTTTGTATGGTTATTATCCTTTGGAGCATTAGTATTATACAGTGAAGAAACTGTTGAGGTCTAAGAAGTAGGATCATGTTAAAACATCACAACACTTTAATTTTGATAGAACATTGGAAACAAAATAGACATTTTGTAGCTTAGTCTTCAGTTGCTACTTTGTAGC